TGTTTAATTTTTTAAATAAAGGAATTTGTTCATTAGCATTTTTTTTGCAATTATATTGAAATTAGTGTCAAGTATTAACTTATATTAGTATAAATATATTGAGTTATTTTTTAATCATTTAAATTTTAAATAATTTAAATGTAAATAATTTAATGTTTAATAACATTTAAATGTATAGCATTCATATAAATCGCCATTTAAAATATAAGATATTATAGTTAATAATAAATGTAATTATCTTTATTTTAACAAATTAGAGCATCTAGTCTTTTTTATTGTAGTGTAAAAGGAAAAGTATGGTTTTGTCTCTCTCATTTTTGTCTGCTGCATGAAATCACTGCTGTGCTTGTGATGATCATAATGATGATGATGATGATGATGCAGGTGAAAATAATGGTGCTGGTTGACTGTGTTCAGATAAGAGATGATTAATGCAGTTACGTGTGTGTGTGTGTGTGTGTGTTTATGCTGCACTCATTCCTTTTTTGTCTTTATCCAGAATGCAATTCCTTGCGTCGCAAGGACCGGAGGAAAGAGTCTGTGGACATCAGATCCATCAGCTCTCACAGCAGCGATGGTAAGAGAAAGAGAGTATGTTTCAACACAATACACCAGAAGAAACGAGTGAAAGAGAATCCCTTTATCAGTTCAGAAGTAATTATGAAGAGAAACAGAGCAGTAAAGAGATTTGTGTTAATGTGTGCACTTGAGTGTGTGTTTATAATGTGTTTGTGTTTTGTGAGTCAGAGCGTGTGCGTGTGCGTGTGTGTGTGGGGGGCTTTTTGTGACGTGGCCAGCGTTGATGACGTCAGCACACCCACAGTCTCAGTGCACTCTGACGCAGACAGAGTTATTTAAAGAGCTCTTCTCCTTTCTCTCTCTCTCTCTCTCTCTCTCTCTCTCTCTTTCAGCTCCCAGTCTACAGAACCGCAGATATTCCTCTATGGCCAGAATCCACTCCATGACTATTGAGGCTCCGATCACTAAGGTACGCCTGTGTTATTATACACACCTGAAGACAAAAAGCCATAAACCTGTATGAACCATTATAACCACCTGATTCAATATAGATCAATACAGAATCAGCTGTCAAAAATCAGTACTAAAGCCACTGGAAGGCAAGCCTGCAACCTTTATCCAAAAAAGCGTAACTGCTAAAGCTAAAGCTTCCGCTTTTGCAGTACGCAGGAAAGGAGACCAGAGGCCGTTTTGTTTAAATGGACGTCAGTGGAGGAGAGGCTTCACTACGCTGAATAAACAGCTTTTTTGAGGAAACAGCTTATTATTTAATGAATCGGCAGCCTATTGGCTAATCTCCAACATGTTTTACACTAAACAATACTTTTAGATTGAACTATTTTTAAAGTTTACACCAAAAAAAAATGCCGTTTTATGAAAGAAGTTACTGAACTTTTTGTGACGGGTGGGATTCAGCGTACGGCATTTCTCATTCATTCCTATAGTATCCGTAAATGGCGATTGAGTGTCGCACAACTCTGACTGAAATTCAATGACGTCGAGGCTGTAATGTGATTGGTTATTAAGGCACACGTGATCCAAGTTGATTGTTATGCTTTCTCCAAAAGTAGGTAATACAAACCCTCTCATCTCCCAATTGTGAGACAATCTCTGGCAGTACATCAAAAAGCCGTGAAACGGCCACATCCTACAGGAAGTTCAGTTTGAGCTTGAATGACAGGAAGGGGGATTTACTGAATTGTAATTCACAGAAATACTTCTGTGTTAATTTAAGTGTTAATCTATCTATCTATCATCTACCTATCTATCTATTTATCGTTCTATCATTCTATAGTTCTATCTGTCCATCCATCCATCCATCATTGTTCTATCATTCTATCTCTGTCGTTTTGTCCATCCATCCATTTATCCTTTGTTGTATCATTCTTATCTCTCTGTTGTTCTGTCCATCTATCCATCCATTCATCTATCATTCTATCTCTCTGTTGTTCTGTCCATCCATTCATCTATCATTCTATCTCTCTGTTGTTCTGTCCATCTATCCATCCATCCATCAATCCAATCTATCGTTTTGTCATTCTATCTATCCATCCATCCATCCATTCATCCATCCATCCATCCAACGTTCTATCATTCTATCTCTGTCGTTCTGTCCATCTAGCCATCATTCTATCATTCTGTCCATCCATCCATTTATCCTTCGTTGTATCATTCTTATCTCTCTGTTGTTCTGTCCATCTATCCATCCATTCATCTATCATTCTATCTCTCTGTTGTTCTGTCCATCCATCCATCCATTCATCTATCATTCTATCTCTCTGTTGTTCTGTCCATCTATCCATCGTTCTATCATTCTGTCCATCCATCCATCCATTTATCCATTGTTCTATCATTCTATCGCTCTGTTGTTCTGTCCATCCATCCATCCATCCATTTATCCATTGTTCTATCATTCTATCTCTCTGTTGTTCTGTCCATCTATCCATCGTTCTATCATTCTGTCCATCCATCCATCCATTTATCCATCGTTCTATCATTCTATCTCTCTGTTGTTCTGTCCATCTATCCATCCATTCTATCATTCTGTCATTCTATCCATCCATCCATCCATACATAGTTCTGCCGTCTAACAAAACTAACTCAGTTTTTACAGACTTTGATTCTTGGATTAATTTGAAATGCAAATGCAATTTTGGATCCTGTCTGCTACCTCAATTCTAATTCAGTTCAAATTTGAGAATTGAATTGAAATGTAGAAGGTGTTCTCAATTCAGTTCTGTATGGCACACAACCCTGAGACGCACTGAACTCGGTCGTGAATGAGGATTTGTTTGTGACAATGGAAGCAAAACAGACGTCAGAGGGGAAAATTCTTTACTACAGTACAGAGATATTTATGGATCTAAACCTTTGAGTAGTGGTTTGTTGTTTTCTCTCACCCTCTGTTTTTGTTCTGTATGTATTTCGTTGTCTTTGTAGGTGATAAATATCATTAATGCAGCGCAGGAGAGCAGTCCTGTGACAGTAGCGGAAGCTCTGGATCGTGTTCTAGAGATTCTGCGGACCACCGAACTCTACTCACCCCAACTGGCCTCAAAAGAGGACGATCCTCACACCAATGACCTGGTGGGGGGGCTCATGAGTGTAAGTCAAGCATTCACCTTTTATTCTTAAAGGTGTTTATTTTATTTTAGATTTATTTTATTTTTAACCATAATTTAATACATTTTATTTTATTATTAACCCTATATTTTTTTGGTTTGAATTGTATTTATTTATTTTGTTGCTAACCCTATTCATTATACTTTATTAATATCCCTTTATTTTATTTTTAACCATAATTTAATAAATGTTATTTTAATATTAACCCTATATTTTTTGGTTTGTATTTAATTTTTTAATTTTTTTGTTGCTAACACTATTCATTATACTTTATTAATATCCCTTTATTTTATTTTTAACCCTAATCCTATTCATTTTACTTTATTACCAGCCCTATATTTTATTTAATTTTTATTTAATAACATTTTTTATGTAATTTTTTTATTTATTAGTTTGTTTTATTTTATATTTGTATTTCAAAAGAGCAAGAAAATCCTTCATATGACTCCTGTTTGGAACTAAATGACACAAAGGACTACAAGTCATCTTACACCCACATGATGCACAGAAATAGCCTTAAAATACTCTTCGAACACATGCAGTCAAAAACATTATAAACAGTACAATACAATATTAAACCGATGGAAAATTTCACAAATTGATTTCCTGTACACAAACAAACCTAGACCAGATTTTTTTCAGCAGAGAATCATCATTACGGGAGAAATTCATCATCTTATATGCAGCGTGTGACTGCATGTCAGTGTCGTTCAGTAGATGTGACTGCTCTTGTTTTCGTGGCACAGATACATTGAGCTCCATGCTGCCTGGCACAGGCTGTTTCACAGTTAGCCAGCAGTCTGTGACGACGCTTGTTTACACAGCGCTCTCACTGTCTGCCATCTCTGCATCTCCCCCTTTGAAAGTGGTCCACTTTTAAACCAGAAAATAGTTGTTAGACTAAAGGAGCATTCACACAGACACACAGAACAGAAGTCATTCATTTGAGAGTCACAGAGACTTTTGGTGATGCAGCAAAATTGAGCAGTTTGCCAATGCGCAGCGATGCAGTGGTTGCTGAACAGTGAAGCTCTAATAATCAGCTTCCTGATATAACTGGATACAAATACCAAGAAGTTTTAACAGAGTTTACTTCTTGGCTGTGGACATAATTTAGGAGATTTAGTTGGCAGGGTTCCCACCGTGCTGGAAAACTTGGGAATATCAGGGAATCTCAAACGATTTAGGCCAGTAAAAAAGTCACAGAAATTAACATAATGTTGACATTTCTTATTATTATCAGTTCCGAAGTATTTATTTTTAGAAATGATGTGAAGTAGAAAAAAAGCCTAATCATAAACAACTGGAAAAGTCATGGAAAATTATGGAAATTCATTGGTCCAAAATATGGAAAGTTGACATTCTGTACATGAGATAAAACTATTTTAAACAACATTTTGCTAGTTCTTTTATGATTATTTTAGGTATGTTTTATGAACTATTAATTGAGAATGATGTTAAATATTTTGAATTTTTTTTTTTTATATCAGTTTTCAGAACTGATTAACTGGTCAATTGTAATAAGTGTGATAGATAAATGCTTTTATATATTTTTAAGTTTTCATTTACATTATTTTTAATGCTATTACTGTAAACATGATTTTTATTCTTGTTTACACACAGGTATATATTAAATATTAAATTTTCTCTCGTGATCAACAACATTTGACTCGACTCAAGATGCTGTAAATAGGAATACGTTTTATTTAATCTGGAATATTCATTTGAGGCAGTTGATCAAGTTTAGGGTCTTTTAATAATAAATTAATACTTTTAGTCAGCAAGGATGCATTAAATTGATCAAACGTGACAGTAAAGACATTTACAACAACAAATGATTTCGGTTTCAAAAATGCTGTAGTTCTGAACTTTCGATTCACCAAAGAATCTTGAAAAAACGTATTTAAACATTGATAATCAGAAATGTTTCTTGAGCAGCAAATCAGCATATTAGAATGATTTCTGAAGGATCATGTGACACTGAAGACTGGAGTAATGAAGTTTGCATCGCTGGAATAATTTGCATTTTTAAATATATTTAAGTAGAAAAACAGTTCTTTTAAATAATAAAAATATTTCACAATATTTCTCATAGCTGTTTTTACTGTATTTTTGATCAAATAAATGCAAACTTGGTGAGCAAACGGTGGTGTAGTTCTGAAACATTAAAATGCTAAATAACTACAAGCCAGATTCAGGCCACTTCCTTTCATAATGTCATTTTTCTCCATTAAATAAAGGTCAAGCGGGTGCGATGCACAAATCTCAAGTGTTCAAATGACCGTTTTGGTGGGTGACCTTTTGAGGGAGAGGTCAGAGGTCAATTACACAGTGAAATATCCGAGTTGAGATAGTGCAGCTGTGGCCTGTGATCATTACAGACGGGATGTGTGTGTGTGTGTGTGTGTGTGTGTGTCATATTTATACATGTACAGTTCTATAATCCTACGCCTGCAACATCTCAGACAGAGTTTGTTTTAAGTACTGGATGAGTCTCTTTGAATCTGGATCTGTTTTCTGTGTGTTTAATATCCTCCAGGCCTAATAAATGGCTTTTCTCATACGAGCATGCAAGCGTGAGTGAGTCATGGGTAGCGTGGTAGTGCTCTGCTTAAATGTGTTGTTATGATTATGTTGACTGGAAATTATATTTTGGCTTCCTCAAGCCTTTTTTTCTCTTTCATTTCAGTCAGATATATTGATGTATATTTTTCTTCATTTCAGGACGGACTCAGAAGGCTCTCTGGGAATGAGTATGTCTTCTCCAAAAGTGCTTTACACAGTAAGTTCTAGCCCTGAAAATGATTATTAATATAATACAGATTGGATGAAATGTTGTAAACTAACTTTGAATAAACTAGTATTCAGCCTATACCTTATGTATTATTTAGTATTACAGGATATCTTTTAAAATATAAAAGGCACTAATTACTTATAACTTAATTATGCATATAATGACAAGAAAATATCTAACAGCAAAAATGAAAAGTTACAGTGAGGGATTTATAGTAACACTCAAAGCTATTTAAAGCAGTGTTATTGTCTGTAAATCAAACTAAAATTATTATAAATAAAGCTGAAATAAAATGTAAATATTTGTTGAAAAACTAAATGAGAATTAGAAATGTTGCTTTGGCAGCTTACTAAAATAAGTTTCATTAAAGCACTAAAATTATTAAATAATTATTAATAATTATGAAATAAACGATAGCATAATAAAAACTAATAAATGACAAAAGTAAAAAATATCTATCTTCTGTCTGTTGTTCTATCTATCTATCCATCCATCCATCCATCCATCCATCTATCTATCTATCTTCTGTCTGTTGTTCTATCTATCTATCCATCCATCCATCCATCCATCCATCTATCTATCTATCTTCTGTCTGTTGTTCTATCTATCTATCCATCCATCCATCCATCCATCATAATCTCAGAATAGTGACATGTTTTAGGTTAAGTCCCACAAAAATATTCAAATTAATTATAACTCAGAAATTGAAAGCATGTTCATCTTAGAAAAGCTATTCAAATCATTGTGTTTATGAGTTAAATTTTTTGGAAACATTCATAGAGCCTGATAAAACAAATAAGTGTCATGTCATTGACCCCAAACTGAATATGTTTAAATAATTGATAAAAGCTGTAGAAAGCCGTGGAGAAATATAATCTCCATCCTGTTTCTCCTCCTCGCAGCAGTCCCATCCTGAGCAGCAGCACATAAAATGGACCTCTGTGCTCATGCTGTGCTGTCAGCCAAGACTTGATCTACAGGCAGCCATCTTTAGAAAGGCAGGATGGCAGATATGCAGCCGCAATCTGACGTCTGTCATGCTGAAACCCAACCGACAGAAAAGGAAAATCACAAATGAGATCTCTTTAATATGTCAATTATATTTCCTAGACCGCAATAAGATTGAGTCAAGGGCAGATGGAGAATTCTGCTTCATTTTCCTGCTTCTCAGATCTTTCTCCTGAGAAAAAGACCCCAGAAATATATTGTACTTTCTATCATTCTATCGCTCTGTTGTTCTGTCCATCCATCCATTCATTCATCTATCGTTCTATCATTCTATCTCTCTGTTGTTCTGTCCATCTATCCATCGTTCTATCATTCTGTCCATCCATCCATCAATCCATTCTATCGTTCTGTCATTCTATCTATCCATTCATCTATCGTTCTATCATTCTATCGCTCTGTTGTTCTGTCCATCCATCCATTCATTCATCTATCGTTCTATCATTCTATCTCTCTGTTGTTCTGTCCATCTATCCATCGTTCTATCATTCTGTCCATCCATCCATCAGTCCATTCTATCGTTCTGTCATTCTATCTATCCATCCATCCATACATAGTTCTGCCGTCTAACAAAACTAACATTCAGTTTTTACAGACTTTGATTCTTGGATTAATTTGAAATGCAAATGCAATTTTGGATCCTGTCTGCTACCTCAATTCTAATTCAGTTCAAATTTGAGAATTGAATTGAAATGTAGAAGGTGTTCTCAATTCAGTTCTGTATGGCACACAACCCTGAGACGCACTGAACTCGGTCGTGAATGAGGATTTGTTTGTGACAATGGAAGCAAAACAGACGTCAGAGGGGAAAATTCTTTACTACAGTACAGAGATATTTATGGATCTAAACCTTTGAGTAGTGGTTTGTTGTTTTCTCTCACCCTCTGTTTTTGTTCTGTATGTATTTCGTTGTCTTTGTAGGTGATAAATATCATTAATGCAGCGCAGGAGAGCAGTCCTGTGACAGTAGCGGAAGCTCTGGATCGTGTTCTAGAGATTCTGCGGACCACCGAACTCTACTCACCCCAACTGGCCTCAAAAGAGGACGATCCTCACACCAATGACCTGGTGGGGGGGCTCATGAGTGTAAGTCAAGCATTCACCTTTTATTCTTAAAGGTGTTTATTTTATTTTAGATTTATTTTATTTTTAACCATAATTTAATACATTTTATTTTATTATTAACCCTATATTTTTTTGGTTTGAATTGTATTTATTTATTTTGTTGCTAACCCTATTCATTATACTTTATTAATATCCCTTTATTTTATTTTTAACCATAATTTAATACATTTTATTTTATTATTAACCCTATATTTTTTTGGTTTGAATTGTATTTATTTATTTTGTTGCTAACCCTATTCATTATACTTTATTAATATCCCTTTATTTTATTTTTAACCCTAATCCTATTCATTTTACTTTATTACCAGCCCTATATTTTATTTAATTTTTATTTAATAACATTTTTTATGTAATTTTTTTATTTATTAGTTTGTTTTATTTTATATTTGTATTTCAAAAGAGCAAGAAAATCCTTCATATGACTCCTGTTTGGAACTAAATGACACAAAGGACTACAAGTCATCTTACACCCACATGATGCACAGAAATAGCCTTAAAATACTCTTCGAACACATGCAGTCAAAAACATTATAAACAGTACAATACAATATTAAACCGATGGAAAATTTCACAAATTGATTTCCTGTACACAAACAAACCTAGACCAGATTTTTTTCAGCAGAGAATCATCATTACGGGAGAAATTCATCATCTTATATGCAGCGTGTGACTGCATGTCAGTGTCGTTCAGTAGATGTGACTGCTCTTGTTTTCGTGGCACAGATACATTGAGCTCCATGCTGCCTGGCACAGGCTGTTTCACAGTTAGCCAGCAGTCTGTGACGACGCTTGTTTACACAGCGCTCTCACTGTCTGCCATCTCTGCATCTCCCCCTTTGAAAGTGGTCCACTTTTAAACCAGAAAATAGTTGTTAGACTAAAGGAGCATTCACACAGACACACAGAACAGAAGTCATTCATTTGAGAGTCACAGAGACTTTTGGTGATGCAGCAAAATTGAGCAGTTTGCCAATGCGCAGCGATGCAGTGGTTGCTGAACAGTGAAGCTCTAATAATCAGCTTCCTGATATAACTGGATACAAATACCAAGAAGTTTTAACAGAGTTTACTTCTTGGCTGTGGACATAATTTAGGAGATTTAGTTGGCAGGGTTCCCACCGTGCTGGAAAACTTGGGAATATCAGGGAATCTCAAACGATTTAGGCCAGTAAAAAAGTCACAGAAATTAACATAATGTTGACATTTCTTATTATTATCAGTTCCGAAGTATTTATTTTTAGAAATGATGTGAAGTAGAAAAAAAGCCTAATCATAAACAACTGGAAAAGTCATGGAAAATTATGGAAATTCATTGGTCCAAAATATGGAAAGTTGACATTCTGTACATGAGATAAAACTATTTTAAACAACATTTTGCTAGTTCTTTTATGATTATTTTAGGTATGTTTTATGAACTATTAATTGAGAATGATGTTAAATATTTTGAATTTTTTTTTTTATATCAGTTTTCAGAACTGATTAACTGGTCAATTGTAATAAGTGTGATAGATAAATGCTTTTATATATTTTTAAGTTTTCATTTACATTATTTTTAATGCTATTACTGTAAACATGATTTTTATTCTTGTTTACACACAGGTATATATTAAATATTAAATTTTCTCTCGTGATCAACAACATTTGACTCGACTCAAGATGCTGTAAATAGGAATACGTTTTATTTAATCTGGAATATTCATTTGAGGCAGTTGATCAAGTTTAGGGTCTTTTAATAATAAATTAATACTTTTAGTCAGCAAGGATGCATTAAATTGATCAAACGTGACAGTAAAGACATTTACAACAACAAATGATTTCGGTTTCAAAAATGCTGTAGTTCTGAACTTTCGATTCACCAAAGAATCTTGAAAAAACGTATTTAAACATTGATAATCAGAAATGTTTCTTGAGCAGCAAATCAGCATATTAGAATGATTTCTGAAGGATCATGTGACACTGAAGACTGGAGTAATGAAGTTTGCATCGCTGGAATAATTTGCATTTTTAAATATATTTAAGTAGAAAAACAGTTCTTTTAAATAATAAAAATATTTCACAATATTTCTCATAGCTGTTTTTACTGTATTTTTGATCAAATAAATGCAAACTTGGTGAGCAAACGGTGGTGTAGTTCTGAAACATTAAAATGCTAAATAACTACAAGCCAGATTCAGGCCACTTCCTTTCATAATGTCATTTTTCTCCATTAAATAAAGGTCAAGCGGGTGCGATGCACAAATCTCAAGTGTTCAAATGACCGTTTTGGTGGGTGACCTTTTGAGGGAGAGGTCAGAGGTCAATTACACAGTGAAATATCCGAGTTGAGATAGTGCAGCTGTGGCCTGTGATCATTACAGACGGGATGTGTGTGTGTGTGTGTGTGTGTGTGTGTCATATTTATACATGTACAGTTCTATAATCCTACGCCTGCAACATCTCAGACAGAGTTTGTTTTAAGTACTGGATGAGTCTCTTTGAATCTGGATCTGTTTTCTGTGTGTTTAATATCCTCCAGGCCTAATAAATGGCTTTTCTCATACGAGCATGCAAGCGTGAGTGAGTCATGGGTAGCGTGGTAGTGCTGTGCTTAAATGTGTTGTTATGATTATGTTGACTGGAAATTATATTTTGGCTTCCTCAAGCCTTTTTTTCTCTTTCATTTCAGTCAGATATATTGATGTATATTTTTCTTCATTTCAGGACGGACTCAGAAGGCTCTCTGGGAATGAGTATGTCTTCTCCAAAAGTGCTTTACACAGTAAGTTCTAGCCCTGAAAATGATTATTAATATAATACAGATTGGATGAAATGTTGTAAACTAACTTTGAATAAACTAGTATTCAGCCTATACCTTATGTATTATTTAGTATTACAGGATATCTTTTAAAATATAAAAGGCACTAATTACTTATAACTTAATTATGCATATAATGACAAGAAAATATCTAACAGCAAAAATGAAAAGTTACAGTGAGGGATTTATAGTAACACTCAAAGCTATTTAAAGCAGTGTTATTGTCTGTAAATCAAACTAAAATTATTATAAATAAAGCTGAAATAAAATGTAAATATTTGTTGAAAAACTAAATGAGAATTAGAAATGTTGCTTTGGCAGCTTACTAAAATAAGTTTCATTAAAGCACTAAAATTATTAAATAATTATTAATAATTATGAAATAAACGATAGCATAATAAAAACTAATAAATGACAAAAGTAAAAAAAAATTTTTTTAAATCAAACCAAAATTAAAATGAAAACTAAAAATAAATGAACCCAAATTTAATATAAAAAGTAAAACTAATAAATGACAAAATGACTAAAAATTAAACAAAAAATGAAATCTGAAAATCTTAAAACTGAAATTAAACTGAAGAATCTAGAACTGAAATAAAAAATAAATGAAACATCAATAATATATAAAAGACAGATTAATAAATGACAAAACTAAATAACAAAATGACTAAAAATTAAACTAAAATTAAAAATGAAATACAATAAATTAAATTAAACCTAAATAAGTTTTTTAAACAATAAAACAAAGAGGAATAAATGACAAAAGTAAATAACAAAATTACTAAAAAAAGAATTACTGAAAATATAAAAAATAAAGCAAAATTAAAATGAAAACTGAAAATATAAAAATGAAAGCTAATTCAAAATAGTATTAAAAACTAGAATAGTATATAATTAACAGTAGTTTAAAGTATCTGAAATGTTTTTGTGCCTTTCTGCCATGTTCTATCTTGACATTGAATGTTTGGCCATCACCCATTTGACCTTCAGATATGAGTCAGAGTCACCTGCCAGTGCCTGTCCCGTTAAACGACATCCCGTCCTCCATCGCAGAGCTGCTCGACGAGGAGGAACGCTGGGAATTCAGTATCCTGGAGCTGGAAGCAGCTACTCACAAGAGGTACCAGAAAGCGAGACTTTTTTTGTGTAAACTTATTGTAATGGGAAAAGTTCTGAGTGCTATAGTGTGTGTGTGTGTGTGTGTGTGTGTGTGTGTGTGTGTGTGTGTGTGTGTGTGTGTGTGTGTGTGTGTGTGTGTGTGTGTGCAGGCCGCTTTCATACCTGGGGCTGAAGATCTTCTCTGCTTTTGGCGTGTGTGAGTTCCTGAACTGCACAGAGGCCACGTTGCGCTCGTGGCTGCAGGTGATCGAGGCTAATTACCACGCATCCAACTCCTACCACAACTCAACACACGCCGCAGACGTCCTGCACGCCACAGCCTACTTCCTGCGCAAGGACCGAGTCAAGGTAACCCTGACAACCAATCAGAATACAGAAATAGAAATGTCTCAATTTATACTTTCATCCAAAAATGAAAACATTGGCCTAAGGTAAGGAGAGCCTTCTAGAACAACCAAGTGCTTCAATTGATGATTTATTGAGACTTATTTCATTCACCATTCATCAGAATTTTCAGAAGTTTCAATGCTCAATCAATTATTCAAGAGTATTTTTAATACTAATAATTTAATAATATACATTTTTATTAAATTAAATTAAATATTCAATTAATATAAAATTTAATTTTAATTAAAATAAAATTGTAATTATTTTAAAATAATTTCATTATACATAAATGTGTAATTCCTAATATAATTCAGTAAATTACATATAATAATAAATGTATGCTATACTGTTATAGTTGACCATAGCCAAATAAAATAAAAACTGGATTGAATCGGAATTTTATCATAATTATTCATTCTCAATTATATTGAATTATATTGAATGGTTATTGACTCATATTTTAAATTATATGTGTTATATATTATATATTTATACATTTTATAAATATATATTTTAAGAAATATTATGAATACAATGTTTTATAAATATATATATATATATATATATATATTCAATAATTATTCAAAACATATAAAGTTCTGAAATTAAAATTATATTTTAATATTACTATTTAACATGAATTTATTATATTTAATAGTAATATCATAATATTTACTAAAAATTTACGTTAAAATATTTTAGTGAATTTTTCATACATATTAAGATACTAGTATTAAATATTTTACCCAAGAAATGTAAAATGCCACCCAATGTTTTTGTTGTACATTTGTTCATTTTTAAAAGATGATGTAAACAAACTCTTTTGAAAAATAAAATAAAATAAAAACAAGAACACTCAAAAGACAAAAAGATACATTAATTAGTAATATTTAATAGTAATATTTATTCAAAAATCACTCATTGTGCATTATCTAGTCATAAAACTAATTAAGTTGCCACAGTTTTTGACAGATGCTGTTCATCTCAAAAGGGACAAATATTTGCAGATAAATCGGTTAGTCACTAATATTGAGCTGACCTAAACAATTTTGGGTTACTTCTAAAACTTACCTACGGTGTCTGTGCTGTGTTTGCAGGGCAGTCTTGACCAGTTGGATGAAGTAGCAGCGCTATTGGCAGCAACCGTCCATGACGTTGATCACCCGGGCCGCACCAACTCATTCCTGTGCAATGCAGGCAGTGATCTGGCCATTCTGTACAACGACACGGCCGTCCTGGAGAGTCACCACGCCGCTCTAGCGTTCCAGCTTACTGTACGAGACAGCAAATGCAACATCTTCAAAAACATGGAAAGGTATCAGTGTCAACTTAATCATACGTTTCATATGACTCTCACTGATCCAGTACTAAACTCTCTCAACCTCTCAATATTCAGGACTCAGTTTCGGACCCTACGGCAGGCCATAATAGACATGGTGTTGGCGACAGAAATGACGCGACACTTCGAACACGTCAACAAGTTCGTAAACAGCATCAACAAACCCATGAGTGCCATTGAGGAGACGAGCTCCAATGTAAGACACACATTACTGTGTTTCAATACTGTATGCGTACAGTCTAACCAGTGCCGATCTGCATTTTACAGAGTGAAGGCAGTGATTGTGAGGGTCAGGCCAGTATTCGCAACTCTCCTGAGAATCGTCTGTTGATTAAACGGATGCTGATTAAATGTGCCGATGTGGCCAATCCCTGCAGGCCTCTGGAGCTCTGCATCGAATGGGCTGGTCGTATTTCCGAGGAGTACTTTGCTCAGGTAAAAACCCATGTTCCCTTATGCACATGCTTGCAGTGTCTTTGGTAGCACTTTAGATTAGGGAACCGTTTTCCCTCAATAAACTCTTGATTTGCTGCTTATTAATAGTTAGTAAGGTAGTTGTTATGTTTAGGTATTGGGTCAGGTTATCAAGAATAGGGTCATGCAGAATAAGGCATTAATATGTGCCTAATAAGTACTAATAAACAACCAATATGCTAGTAATATGCATGCTAATAAGCTACTAGTTAATAGTGAGAACTGGTCCTTAAAAGAAAGTGTTAGTGTTTTTCACATTTTTATTGTGTTTTAACTTTCGTAAGATATTGTATTTCCAAGTGAAATAGAGTATTTCTATAGTATAATATGTAGTACTTGATTATCCCAATTATCCGTCAAGATTTGATTGGACCAGGAGAAATGAGTTAAGATCATTTTATTTTGTAGTTGTATTTTGATGAAAAAATAGAATTATTATATATGTATTTATTAAATAAAAAATTTTATATACTATACAAAAATTAATAGTCAACGGCTATTTAAATTCAAATACATGTGCTGAAATTAAAATTATCATTTATTCATATATAAAATGATTAATATTTAATGTTATTTTTTTATATATCTTTAAGGAAATATTAAGAAATTACTATTAATGTTCACTCTAAAATGTTTGAAACAGAAATTATCTATTGCATGCATTATCTATTGAAAAAGCCAGTTAAGTTGCCATAGTTCTTGACCGATGCTGTTAATCTCAAAATGGCCAAATAATGGTCGATAAAATTGGTCAGTCGCTAGTATTGATATTAGAATGATATACATGTTTTACAATAACATATCTCCACTCTCCAGTCATTTGCTTTCTGTATTTGCGATCTCCTTCTTTCCCTAGACTGACGAGGAGAAAAGACAAGGTTTGCCGGTTGTCATGCCAGTGTTTGACCGGAATACCTGCAGCATTCCTAAATCCCAGATCTCATTTATCGACTATTTCATCACGGACATGTTTGATGCCTGGGATGGTAAATATACACACACTCACACACGCAATACACTGGTGATTTCTAATAATCAAGGTTGTGCCATTCAAAATTTATTTCTCGATTTTTGCAGCCTTTTTGACAAAGTTTTGATATATTTGTTATCTCAGTATTTATGTTTTGACATTTGCTTTCTACCTCACAGCAGTGTTATTTTAGTGTCATTGAGATTCTATTATGGTTTTTATTAATATTTTGGACGTTTTTATTCTTATACTTTCTGCTTTCATTTAAATTTTAAGTTGAAGTAATTTTGTTGTATGTGTTATTTCTTATTTAAATATGTATATGTTAGGGATGTGCATCTCCATAACTGAGGCAGATGCGATACGCATCTCGATGCATAGCCAACGATGCGACACATTAAAGATACATATGAAGCAGCTACCTATGCTATGCGATACGATTCACCCCTGTTACGATGCAGTGCGATCCGACACAATGCAATTTAATGCAATACGATACAATGGAAAAAATATGATCACTTCTAATGCCTCGAGGCCTGTTTCATTAAAAAAGTTTGCCAAAAGTTAGTCTGACTCATTGTCAAATGATTTGGTGACTTTCTAACTTTTACAGATGAAGAATATACCTGTGACATGTCAGTTATGCACTGAGGAAAACACAACGTCGCAAATGCATTAAACAGCACAAATGTATTCACTGTTTGCCGTGGTGGATCGATTTGATCCATGATCGACATTAAGGGCTGCTTGAGAATAAGCGTGCACAAATTAGTGAGATTGCACAAACTTAAATGGTCGTTTATGGAACCACTTTAGCCCCGATTGATTTGTTAGGTTATTTCAAGTAAGGTTTTGGACATTAATCCCCGCTTTTCTTAGCATCTTTTATGAAACAGGCCTCAGGTCTCCATAGTGTTGTGATTCGTCAGATTCATGCAGCAGCACCAGTGATGAGAGAACGCGCTTGAGAAACAGTTCAGAGAAGAGAAATCAATCTACATATAAAATATTGGTCACTTTCTAAATAGTAAAAGTATTGCGCATCCACGAGTTATTTTTGTATAGATCGCTTTTTACCGTTGCAAATATTTTAGAAACGATGCAACGCAATACAAATGCCAACTTGTAGCCGATGCACACCTTTTAAATTGATGCATTTTAACTTTTATGCCGATGCACCAGTGCAAATCGGTGAATCTTCCCATCCCTAGTATATATAGTTATTTTTATTTCTCTTTATTTTTTATTTCGGTTATAGTTATTTTAATACATCAAGTAAAACTAAATAAGACATGTTTCCTTGGAAACTAGCTGAAATAAATCAAGTTGAATTTTTTTAAATATTTTATTTCAGTATTTATTTCAAATAGAATATGCCTTCCTCACAGGCAACTGAATTAAAAACAAGCACACTCAAAAGACAGACAAGGTCTATTTGCAAATCATACTGGACTGGTTTATTACATATTGCCTTAAGATTGCTGTAATATTTATGATGATTTTTATATTGCCAACAAAATCGTTGTGAATATAAAATAAATATGAAATATTTCACTCAGCTGTACAACAAATCCAGAAAAAAAAATCACCAAACACTGAGTAGAAAATGACAATTCTGGTACACAATAATGAGGAAGTGTTTTGTATGTGTGTCTGTGTTTGAGAGCGAGACAGAGAGAGCGAGAGAATACTTTCCCAGGCATCTTTTGACTCATCTGGTGAAATGGTCCATTAGCAGCAGAAGATGTTGGACCGGAGGGGTTGAGAACGGGGGGTGTATTAGTTGGTTGCTGAGAGGTTGTGATAATGTTATCCAAAGGTTGAGCTGATTGTGGCGAGCTTTGGAAACTTTAGGTTCTGTGTTTCCCACTGAGCCAAACCCCAGAGAATAAACCTGCTTACTGTCAACTCACAACAGCCGTGATGTCACGGAAACTTTAAAAATGGTGGAGAGGGGCAGGGGGTTAGTGTGTGTGTGTTTATGAGAGAGAGAAAGAATGTGCATCTGTGTGTGTGTGTCTTTGATTTCCGTAGTCTGAGGTCAGGATGCAGTGAAGCAGAATCTCTTGAGCTCTCCGCAGATTTAGTTCCCAAGGTCACGATCAGGTCAGTTCACCATAGAGGAGCTGCGTGTGTGAGTGTGAGTGTGAGTGTGAGTGTGTGTGTGTGTGTGTGTGAAGTGTTACACCATTTTTAAGTATTATTTATTTACAAATGTGCTCGGCTGTATATCGCTGTTGTAATCTTTTACCATATACACATATTGCAGATGAGCTTCAAACACTCACCTTTTGTAGGCCAAAAACCAACGCCAAAGGTGCGTTTATAATCAACCGCGATGAGTTTTAAACAGATGTTTGGCTGAAACCATTTCGACTGGAAAAAAAACTAGTTTCGATTTCTTGAAATCTGTCACACGAAAAAAAAAATTTTATTAAACGTAGCTGTTGGTGCCATTTGTTTTTTGCGCACCTAATTTTTACCGGGTTACATTTGGACACATAGCCGAATTGCATTGGCTCGCATACAAGCTTAGTAGGAATTTATTAAATGTTTATATTCAGTTGACGTTCTGCCTTTTACTCTTTATGCATTGTCGTAAAGGAGCTCTTGAGAAGTTCATCTTCACAGTGAGTGTTCTAGAACACCAGCATGACACCACGAGAGTTCTAGCAGGTTCTGCACCGAGTGTTCTAAATGTGATGTGATCACAATGACTTAAAGCATTCTGGCACACATCACAAAAGCAGATGATTCCACAATGCCCTTGTTAGATGGCAGTCGTTTTTGTTGTTCTGGGGTTGGCAGTGCATCATAGTGAGTGAAGCGTTCCAGACGGCATTGTGCGGTTAAAGGCATGCGGTGCACATTCAGCAGCTCGCAGGGTTTTGATTTTTCCTCTTTCCTGTTCTCTCATCCTTCCTGATTCTATCTGTTTCCCTCCCTTTTTTCTTTTTTCTTTAATGTGGTCACAAGGGTAGAGCAGTAGTTTCGGTGGCAGTTTTGAAGCCTGTATATGGAATGTTTTATATGACGCATTCTTGATGCGTTATAAAGTTAAAATCAGTGGGTATCGCTTTATATTAAGATTTAAAAATCATCATATTCATCTAAATCAGACAATGTTTGTAGCAGATAATATCAGAGATTTTTTCTAATTAAAAAAACGAATATTTGGATATTTGAGTTTAACCATTGGTATACATTATGATTTAACACATGAAATTGGGTTATGATTGAGGCATTATGCATTTTAAAGATACAACTGATATTAAATAAACTTTGTAATGTATTGCGACTGTGGTTACAATTATGTATAAGAACATACAACTGATTTATTTAATAAATGCATTAAGATTTGCTTTGATATACTATATATGCATGCTTAATAGAAATTATACTGCCTCTTTTTTGACCCATTTTTGCATATTTGTTTAGAGCTCTATAGTACAGATTATGGTGGAGGCTCTTGTCGCCCTCTAAGGGTAAATCCTGAGATCCGCACACATTATTGAACTCCATTGATGCTGTTACATAGTTTTTACATAACTATGAAATAACAAGTATCAAAGAGCTTGTGTTTGTTTGTGTTTTAGGTTTTATTTTTTTTTTATAGCAGTATAATCATGTTACCTAAAGTTCTTGTGATCAAGAAAAGTACAGCAAGCAAAGCTCCTAATGGACACTAGCAGTCAAACGCTTGGATGCACTAGACTGAATTTATGTTCAAAATATTAAATACCTGCTGATCTAAAAGTCTATGCTTAAATTATTGAAATAGTTTTCAAATTTAAATTGTGCCTACTGTACCTCATCAGGATGAAGACTGAAGACTGGAGTAATGGCTGCTGAAAAAATTAGCTTTGCCATCAAAGGAATAAATTACATTTTAAAACATATTCAAATAGAAAACAGTTCTTTTAAATTGGAATAATATTTCAAAATATTACTGTCTTTATTATAGTTTTATCTAAAAAATTCAGCCTTGGTGAGCATAAGAGACTTCTTAAATCTTAAATTGAACATTTTTAATTCAATTTGATTTATTTTATTATTAATATATTTTCTGGGCAGGAATTCCATGAAAAAGTTTTAATGACTTTACTATTATTCTAAAATAAATATATATATAAACATAATCATAATAAAGAATAATTAGCTGTGTCCAAATTTTTGACTGGTAGAAAACACAAATGTGCCCCTTTACGGACAGGACATGTACTCATTTAATGTAATTTTATCGAGTAATATTCAGACATTGTAGAACTTATCATGGAAGTGCAGGGCCGAAGATGATGTATCTCTTCCCTCTTTTCCTGTCCTCCACCCTGCTCATCCTCTCTCTTCCTGTCTTTCTGTGTTTAAACTTCATAACCAAACATTATATTGCATTCTTACACACAGGGTTTATAGGTCATTTAAAGTACATGTAATCTGGGAAAATCCCTTTTTAAGCTCAGATGGTTTGACTATGACTCTTTTACAGATGTTATTATGAATATGTAGAGTTTAGAGAGAATATTCAGGTTCATGCCTTAAAGGGATAGTTCACCTTCAGTTGCTGGTCCGCACTGACCTCCATAGTATGGAGGGGGAAAACTGCAACTGAAGGTGAACTATCCCTTTAATCTCTATTATAAAACACTCCTCATCCACTTGCCAACACTGATGATGAGATTCATCATAAACCTGATTTAAAGTCCAGAGTGATTGAACGATGTCTCTTTCCAAAGGTCCAAACATTGATTGTTTGTTGTTGAATATTTAGTGATGATGTGCTTAAAAGATCAGTCCAGCTTCAATACGAATTTGATCAACAGTATTTGGAGCATGATGTTGATTACCATAGAAAATTATTTTGACTCGTCCCTCTTTTATTTAAATTTTTTTTTAATTGTTTTAAAAAGCAAATTTTACAAATTTTATTTTAAAAAAAAAGCAAATATAGCAGTTACAGTAGTTTACTTAAATGTTCCAGATGACTTAAAATCAGAGATGTAAAGCTTATATTTATTTGTTTATATTATATTTAATATTACTATTTGAATATTTGGTTTGACATTTATTGTCAACTAAAAAGTTTTCATTAAAGAAGTTACACTAGAAACTGACTAAAATTACAAAATATTGACTGAATTAAAAGAATATTTTCATCAAGACAAAAATCATGACTACAAATTACATAACTAGAAGTGTTTGCATTCATGTGATGCTTTAGTAGATTAAAATATATATTTTGTCATATTTATTTTAAAAAGCAAATATTAAATTTTTTTTTTTAAAGCAAATATTGTACTTAAAAGTTCCAAAGGGCTTAAAATCAGAAATGTAACACTCATATTTATAATAATTTATAATTAAAATAATAATAATAATATAATTTATAGTATTATATCTGTAAATATAAAAATGTAAGTCATGATTTTTCAGCTGGAACTATTTTCAAGTGGATTTGAACATTATTGATGTTATGCTTGCGGTTGATTTCTTGTCTAATATTTTTTATGATAATAATAATAATAAAGGTGGACAAGTCAAAGTTATTTTTGATTTGAAGTCAATATGTTGCCATAAATGCTGTTGAGAGCCAGAACATTTAATTGGAGATGGTTCGTGTATCTTATAGTTTTTCACCCATTAGGTTTATATTTTTAGTATATTCAATTTCAGATTTAAATTGACTTCCTATCTTCAGTGTAAAGGTGGCAGAAACGCTCAGGCTCATGCTCCATCCATTATCACTTTCAGAACAATTTTTCATCTACCTAAAGTATTTTAAAATCCTGTGTGTAATTATTAATGACTGATCAGTCCAGTCGAATTTGAAAGTTGTTGTGAATCTTTTCAAAGTGTCATCCGTCACGCGTCACCGTCGTGATCAAAGGGCTCCCTATTAGCATACCATGATGACCTCACAATGGCGTCATCATCGGGGGCGGGTCTTGAGACGCATTTCATTAGCGAACGTGAACTGAATCGATGGGTGCAGCTTTTGTGCCAATTACTGTATTTCTGAAGTACAGGGAATGAGCACTAGCATCATCCCTTGCGCATATGTATATAAACTATTTTTTATTGAACAAATACTTCACTGAAAGTAAAAATGATCACATGCCATTTAACAGGTTTGTTTTAGCAAAGGATATTATTTTATTGTATTGTCAGTTGTACAAAAAAAGATTCAATGTTGCATAAAACATCTGTTTGATTGTGTCTCTGCATCTGCTGTTGTTTGGAGACGCCACTCCAACTCTGAAACCATTGTTTGTGAGAAAAATTGCAATAATGTTTTTGATTAAATTTACATGGACACACCAAGCTTTAATTCGTTTTTTAATCAGTTTTGTCAGTTAAAAGATTAGCAAGCATACATGCAAGAAACACATTGATAACACTTCACTATCTTGGTTTCATTTGTTAACATTAGTAAATGTTTTAATAGTTGTTACACTATATCAATGTCTATATATCAAACTATTTTATCATTATTATATATATTCATTTTTATTTAATTTTCCCCAATTTTAGTTATTTTAGTACCTCTAAACAAACCTGACTAATGTTTAAACCACTATCTGAAATAAAATACATTTAAATATTTCAGCTAACATTTAAAGTAACAAAAATGCTTTTTTTACAAGTTTAGTTTGTTAGCGATAACATACTGTGAACTAACAACTGTATTTATAACAAATGAGACTTTATTGTAAAGCGTTATCATTGCACTTTTCAAAATTCAGTTTTAAAATAACACGTCAATCACAATATATACATTGTTACAGATGTTTACTATAAGATACTGATTTTATAAAACCATCTAATTAAAATCACAACGTCATAAGCATTTTATCATACCAAAACAACGTGACGTTAAAACACTGATGTGACCAAGCTTAGCAGATGGTTAGTAAGGCAAAGAAATGTGTTCATATTTCAAACATTTTGAGCTTCAGAGATGATGATGATGATGATGATGATGGGGAAAGGCTTTGAAGATCAGATCACAGTTCCTGGTTTTCCTGGAGTTTCTGGAAGACGGCGAGACTGCGGAGCTGAGACTGGAACTCTCCATCCTTCCAGACGATGAGCAGGTGATCGGTGGAGCAGGTGACCAGACCCTTCTCCTTGAAACTCAGAAACATCTGCAACACAAGCCACATAACAGCACTTCTTTGTTTACCATGTTGTGTTGACAGATATTTTAGAAATTCACTCATGTAAAACCCTGAAAGAGAAAGCAGACGTCTGAATCCCACAAACCACCCCAAAATGTTGCAATAAACTAATGTGTAAAAGAAAATAATGAACAATTCATCAATTCACAGCAGCATCGGTTTCCAAACATGAATTATAATAGAAATTAATTCAAATTAATGATTGACATGACAAACTACTAACTTAAAATCAGAGCAAAAACTAAAACATGATGAAAAATTATAATTTTTTATTATAAAATAAAATAATATTTTATGTAACATCATTTTCTTTTCTTTTTTTTTCCAAGATTGGAGTGTGTACTTAGTTTAGACACTGTACATGCCTTAAAATAACAGTTCACCTAAAATTAAAATTTTGTTCATCATTCACCCCAAAAAATTTGTTTTATTTAAAACCAAGTAAATGATGACAGAACTTCCACTCTTTTTTTACTGTTTTTAAAGCTAGAATGAAACTCCCTGAAGCTGATTGAAAACATGCAATATGACTGGCTTATAATGCTAACGTAATGCTAATGTGATGGGTGTGCTGCTGAAACAGAGCACATGTCAGATGATCGATGCGTAAGTTGACTTGTATGTAGATCACATCCTTCACTCTGTCAGAAACTTTAATTAAACTGCAGGTCAGAACGATACTCTGCTTCATCCAGGATCAATGTCTCCTAATAACACACTGTTTCTACACACAAAATCGAAGGCTTTCATCTAAAACCAGTTCATGAAACTCAGTCGAGACAAACACTCAATACCACTAAGTTGAAAAATCTCAAAACGTCTGCATCCTTGGGTTTATGTCACATGACCCACATACCGTACCTGCACAGCTCCAGAGTGACCAATCAGATCGCCGATCAGTTCCAGCGAGCGCAGACCAGGGACTTCTGGGATTTTCTTGGCAGGAGGACCTGTCTGCTTACTGGACCTGCCAAAAGTGCCGAACATCCCAAAAAACCCTGCAGGAGAAAGCAGACATACTAATCACCCAAACATCATGCATTAAACTCATGCTCATTTAAAAGAAAATAATGATTTAGATACACTGCAAAAGAAAGTCATCAATTACTTAAATGAGAGTCTGTCACACATTTTACTTTATTTTTGATCAAATAAATGCAGCCTTGATGACCATAAGACTGCTTTCAACAACATTAATAAAAAAATAATTAAAACATTTTACATTTTTATTTAAAAAAATGTATTGCCCATTAAAAAAATATTAATTAATATTAATAGCAATTGTTTATGAGCAATTAAAGGCACAAT